CAACAAAAGCATGAACCATCATTTTAATCAAGCTAATAATTTAGCCCTTTAAATCTAAAGAAACTGTTAATCTTTCTCGACTTCGAGGTAATACATTTTCCGTTTGAGAAACCGTCTTTCATGAGCAACATATATGTAAACCCAAGGATAGTAGCAGGAAATGAATGAATGAACAGAAGGCTTCAACCTATATAGATAGGTGATCCATTTCGTGAAATGAAATCAAAGAAATAATATTTTACACAAAATGTTATTGTGTCTATAAGAACATCTAGGTACAGAATACCCCATTTCTCGCATGTGTGCAACATCTGTGTGCCGCACAGCTGCACCCCTTTTTTGATGGCATGGAAGTAGTACACAAAGACAGGTACGAGCAAGCCTGTGTGTGTAGATGTCTGAAGGTGTGGTGCGTGTAAGAAGGGAAAATTATTTGCTAGACAGCTACAAGTAACAAAGCAATTACAGACCAGCAATGACCATACATGGGAATTAACCATAGAAGGGAAAGAATGAAGTCCTTAACGCTGCAACGTTAGAAGCCTAGAAGACAAGTTCTTGTAAAAAGCATTGGAAAATTCACGTCAAAGAAAGGCAGAAAACAAGAAATATTATGGGATAACCTGCAATTTTTGTGCCTCCGTAGTATGTGTTTGTCACATCAACCTCTGGGTAGATGCCCTCTCCAAAGACGTTCTTGCAAAGATCCAAGTGGTATCTGCAATACAAGAAATGTATTTTTATGGTCGGCTGCGCCAAATAAACATACAAAAGGAAAAAGAACAGACACTATACGCATTTGCAATCTGACAAAAGTACAGATAGCAGAAATAGACACAGAAAGCAATCATAGTATTGATTAGCAATGTGATATCTAGAAACATACTTTGTATCAACTTTTGAGGAGCGGATACTATCATTTGAGGGTGCCACCTGGAAATATGCAACTTCAGTACACACTTGGAACCACCATAGCCGATCAGAATCATATTCACTAACAGTAGTGTTCTTCAAGTGATTCTGATTATAAGTTTCAACACCAACACCAAAAGTTCCAACATAATAATCTCTGACATATTTGGCATAGGCAGCCTGCAAGGTACGGGAAATAATTGTCCACAAACCATATACTCTCAGAAAACTGTAAAGGTGCATCATAATGTGTAATGCAAACGTACCACCAAATTCTCTCCAGCCTTTTTTGCTTCAACAAGAGGGGTGCATAATACATCTGGATTTCCATATTGAAACTGAAAATTTATGGACATAAAGAATAATGTTGAGAAAAAGTAATAGAGTGAGAGGACAATAAGAGAAAGCAAATCTACCGCAACAACAGCTGCATCTGCCAGGAAATAGAGGAAATCACCATCAATCTCAAGCTGGAAACATAAACAAATTGTCCGCATCAGTAATTCAGTATCAAGAGATGACAATTCCGTAGAACCTAATCACATTGCAATTTAAGTAAAGGGTTTTTGCATTGGAGAAATAAAAGGAAATTCGATTCAACCTCGGATGCACCAAACTGTTTCCTCAGTTCCTTTCCTTTTGATTCAAGACTTCGATCAACGAGTTCTGTAATTTCTTGTAACACGGCTTTGCATTCAGGACCAGCTGACTCACCAACCTGCACAAGGAAAGGTGATGGGAGAATATATTGAGGATACGAAAACAAAAATAAAATAAAAGAAAAACCTCAGTGTACAAACAGATATTTACAAGATGAACTCACTTCAACTACTCAAGCTCATCAAATTTCCACCAGTAGCTATCCTAAATATTAAGTTATTTTAAGCAAAGTATGATAATTATATCTCTTTATTCCTATGTCTATCATTCAAAGAACAATAATTGCAAATTTTCATCCTAACCTTAAAAAGAGTGAGATGAAGGGGAGCATCCATCTCTTACCTGCTTATCAAATTCAGTGTAGTTGTAAACAGCAAGAACAACAGCAGAACTTGCCAGGCTTCCACATGTTAAATGAGGAAACTTAAGACGAAACCACGCACTAAGAGCACCAGAGTAGGAAACACCAAAAACAAACCATGAATTATCAGCACCTGGTCTATTTCGCTTCAAGTTTAAGGATTCCTGCAAAAAGAGAAGCACCATTAATTTTCTTTTCAATGATAACATTAAGTTCATCTAATATAAACCCACTAAGACAATAGTAGGCAGCTTAAATGAAAAGGAAGGAAAACAATGAAGAACCTTACCTGATACCATTGACGAAAAGCTGCCAAATCAAAGAGAGCCTGCTTAGATGAAAGATATTTCAGATTTTCCGTCGTATGTGACTTAAAAGGGCTGCTTTTCCCATAGTAGCGATGCTCAAGTGAAACCACAGCTGCCCCAAACTTCTTTGCCAAAACCTGAAAACCATAACAGAAAATATACAATACAATAACAATAAGACAGGTTCTTGTTCTCAAATCAAATTCGTTCTCTCTGTAAAATAAGATTTGGGTTTGAAAAGAAATAGTAGAATTTACGCTGATGTAGTCATTGCTTATGCCTCTGCACGAAGATTCTCCACAAATCTTTAAGAAAATAGGTCCATCTGGAACTTGAAAGTAGTCAAGGAATTCATAGTAACGCTGTTTAAATTGCCGGTGGTCCTACAAGAAAGACAAACCTCAATATTAAGTAAAGAGAAAATAGAAAATTAACCTATTTTTCCATAAATTAATCAAACTTGATTAACGAAATTCAAAGATGCAAACTTTGGATGGAAATAAAAGAGATTATAAAAGGGAATGTGAGAATTACATAAGGAGAATAGTGATCGAGAGTCTGGTCGAACCAGAGCTCTTTAGTGGTTAAATAAGAGCTGCTTTCAGACAAGCGGTCGAGCAAAGTACGAGGCGTCATCACGAATCCATGGGTGAAACCCGATAGAGCCACGATAAACAATAACGAGACGAACACGACAACTGGTTTCGAAAGCCTCATCGTTGCCGTTGCCGTTTTCGTGCCGTTGCCGCTGCCGCCCTAGTTCAGAAACTGGTGGGGATATTTATGTCTTAATACACTTGAGAAAGCCAAGGTTGTTCGTTGACTGTTAAAAGACGGACGCAGGAAACCGAATCGGAAAGTCCTGGGAAGTTTATGAACTTAACGTGCGGTGCACTTTTTGAATAAATTATATAAATGGTCCCCTTTCTCTAGTCTATCTTAATTTAGTCATCGACTTTATAAAAGTTACATTCTCATTACTTTTGTTTTCGATCTGTATCGTTGAATCATTAACTCCCATTAGTTTGATGAAATGGAAACTTAGTAAAAATGGTTAATGTTTAACTTAATCCCTAAATTTTAGATAGAATATTAATTTAACCTTAAGTTTTAGAAAATAATACTAATTTAATCTTTAAACTTTAAATAAAGTCTAAAGGATAATTTTTGCCTCTATAGTAGACCTAATTTATCATTTTTTACCCCTATCATATTTTCACATCAATTTAACCCTTGAAGATATTCAATTACATCATTTTATATCTTATCCAAAACTTAAAACCTTAAAATGAGGGTTTTATGTTAGGGTTTGAGGTTTAAAGGTTATGGGGTTATAGTTTAGAGGTTATAGGATTATGGTTTAGGGTTTTAAGTTAGGAGTAAGATATAGAATGATGCAATTAAACAACTTTAAGAGTTAAATTACTGTGAAAATACGATATGAGTAAAAATGATAAATTGAATCTACTATAAAGACAAATGTGACCCTTAATCCTTAAATAAAATATCAATTTGATCTCTAGTTCCACTCAAAATCCCCGTCGTCGACTCCTGTTTCTCTTCTCCAATTCATATAACCATCGATTTTCGTCATCAATCATTGTTAATCGTTTCACTCGCGATCGTTAGACTCTTAATTTTTCAATTCACTCCTTTTAAGCTGTTGAAATTAAATTTAATATTCATTTCACCGAAAAAGCATCAAACTTTGTAAACCTAATCTAAAACCCTTGAAATTTCTTTAAATAATAAATTTATCATTACATTACTTCAAATATAAGGATACTAAAAATATAACTTTATATCATAATCTAAATCTATAACATAATACATCTATATTATAATGATAATAATTTTATTTATGTAAATTTTAATAAATTTTATATTATAAATTTAATAAAATTATAATATATAATTTATTAAAATCTACCGATCGGATTGTTATTATAATTTTTTTTCAAATATTCTGTAAAGGTCCCTTAGTTTTCTTTTTAGACAAATAAAATAAAAAAATGATAATTTTTTACTTGATCGATATAGGTAAAATGAACGTATGTAGGGTGTTGATATTGATTCTTTTCCTATATGTGAATATGCAAGTATATGCCGTATCAATATCTCATATTACCACTAACATAAGTTGATAGATAGCTCATGTGGTAAGTAATTTGATATCGTTTAAGCAATGTTTGAATTTTGAGTCTCCGTGTACGTAAAAAACCCTTACTAGTATATTCACCTACCAAAATCATGTGTGCAACATAAATAAGGCCGGATTAATCAAGAGAAAGCCTTAGATTAAAAAAAAGACACCTATATTTTTCAAGAAAATATTAGACGTCTAAACGAAAAATGAGATATAATTTGAACAATTTTTTTATATTAAGTATTTTATTTTTAATTAAGTTAAAACTCTAGAAATTATCTCATTCACTTTGTTGCGTTTTAATCTTCATATTTATGGATATTAGTTATATTCGTAACATTTTCATATTGGTCATCATATTTTTTATGAGGTAATTTATAATTTAATATTACAAAATTGCATATTTGCAATTTCTTTATAAACGTAATTTTTAATAACTAATATATGTAGAATATGAATATTTAAAGTAAATCTAACACATTAAAAAGTTTTATATATATATACTAGAATTATAAAAAAGTATAAAAATAAAATAAAAATTTTAAAAGTCGGATAAAACATCATTAACAATTTATAAATGAAAAAAAAATATGAACATGGAATGAAACACGTATTTTCTAAGTTGATTCTTCATTCTGTTCTATGAGCAAGAGATCCTCTGGGTAGTACCAAGTATACCATTGCCTTTTAAGCATTTATCTCAAGCATTCTTCCCAAGTGCTTTAACAAGTACACCCAAAAAAAATTCAACAAACAAAAATTACAAAAGAACCACTGCATTCTTTTGCTTCATGGTATGAGCTATGAAAGCTGCTTGAAAAGAAACGAAAAAGAAAGCTATTCTATTGAAAGTTTGACACTATGGTAGGAGATGATAAGTTGAGCAGCTACGGTGCAGTTAACAAACGTATAAAATGAGGCCTTCCAGATAGAATTTAACGGAGAACCAGGTGGATTATCATCGTCTCCGCTACCGGCAACACTGAGTTATTGTTCCTTCAGACAAAAAAATAAAGAACATCAGAAATTTTGCATCAAAGTTCAAAACAAGGCTATTAATATTGCATTATGAACTTCATAAATGTAACATTCATCAGTGTAATCTTGCACTTTCAACTCGAAAAATGAAGTATTTGTCGACGAAAATATGTTTAACGAACAAATGCACTCTTCCTCCTGTATTTGAAGAATATCCAGAGAGTTATGTCACCAAACTTTGTTCACATGCTCTAATCATTCTTTTATGGTACATATGAGGGAACTTAAGAAATATCTTCAGCACCCTGCTACCATGTTCTCATATCTAACTTCATAATCTGATGCTACAATCTGATATGAAACGTTAATTCTTGTATATAGATTTTGTCTTTTCATTCATTGAAATGAATGCATGCTTATTGCACATATGAAATGAAAATTTGAGGGCTTCCAATTCCAAAACATCAATTGAATCATCTCACTTCTTAATGACTGGTTTTTATAGGTATTACCCTTGAATATGTCAGAAACAACAAGATGATGTGTTTCAAATGCAGTCGAAGAAGAGAAGCATGCATAATAGTAGTTCTTACCTGATTGTTCCAGGCTTGTTCATGTATTGTATGAGGCTTCATATTCAAATCTATCATTTTAGTATCCATTTCAAGATGGCCATCAGCGTGAAGAGAGGTCTTGTCATTTTGTTGGTTCTCTACCGATGCTGGTTTAGCTGCCTGATTTTGGCATCTTTGCGTCTCACTCGGATCCGAAGATTGTGAAGTTGGGTTCCCTATATTACCAGGTTTATCCCCTGGGAACTGAAAAAAAGCAAAGCAATAAAATTCCCAGGGAACATTTGAACTCCAGGAGGAATATATGACCCAATTATCTTTTATGATCAAGTGACAAACCTCAACTCTCTGCCTTAATAGAAGATATCTTCCATGAGTTCTTTTAGCTCCAACATGTACAATCATATCACATTGCAAACATAGGGAAGTTCCATCTATTTCACAGTAAAAAAAAGCTACATGCACCATTCCAATGGAAAGAACATAAGTATCACAAACTCGCACAGGAACCTGATAATTCAACAGCTCTATAATTAAAGCAAAAGTAAAAGACAAAACGACACCTGCATATTACCAGGTGTATTTTCACATATGTCGCAGCGAGGAACGGCAGCGGGATTTGCCAGACCGACCCGGACGTGCCTGCTAGCAAGCTTATTGCACATGTGGACCTGCCACATACATCAACAGTTAAAATCAAAAGGTTCAGATATGCAGGTCAATCTAGAACAATGAGAGAATTCTAATTCTAAACAGGCATCCTTTTGATAGTAATGGAAAGGGAACTTTTGAGAAGAAATAAAATCTAATACACCAATATAAGTTTTCATTAAAGGAACTAACCTTTTCATCACAAGTACGGCAAAGAGGGGCCTCATCGGCAGCACAAAAGACAATAGCAGCAGCACTTTCACAAGCGTCGCAAAGGATTCGCATAATTCTCTCCCACTCTCATCCTCTCCCAATAGCAAAAATGTTCATATTCTTTTTCACATAATAATAAGAAATAGGCCCTGAAAACAGAAGAACCCAACTAAAGAAAAAACAAATGAAGAGAGGCTGTATTTATAATCAAATGAAATGATAAGCAGAGGCAGCTGTTGTTGTTGGGTTGGTTGGTGATAATGATGATGATGTGCAGGACGTCTTCCAGGATTGGTGACAAGGGAGAAAAAAAGTTTTCTTTTATAATTTAGAATTGATCATTAAGGGAAATAGTGAGGAAAATGTGGGTATTTAATAAACAGGCAAGGCAACAATGATATATCAAATGAACGATTGAGCAATGGCCGTGCTGTTGAGTGAAGGGTGTGTTTCGTTTTGTCAACTTGTTCATTTGGTGTTTGCTGGATGAACACCACAAGTTATATTCAAAGTTTTGGCTTTTATGAGTTGGGGAAGTTGAGAACGTCTCTTGCTTTAATCTTGCTGCCATGGGACCCAAGTTCCTGTTTTTTTCCTTGTTTCCATAAGTTTGGTTTGTGTTGTTTTGGTTGCTTTCTTTTTGCTTCTTCTGGTAGCCTAGTCATTCACACCTGCAAAGAATCTTCTCTTTATCACCGAACACATCAACCAGTACCAAATTGGTTCCACAAGCTATTGGCTCGTGATTACAGTACTACCACTATCATAGATGAGATAAGATGGGGCTAAGGAAAACTTACGTTTGTGGGTGTAGACTGCTTAGATCAACCACTGGTTGAACCGGGACAATTTGCTTCAATTCACTGTCTTTTCTTCACCAAAATCGTTTTTTTGCCAAGGTCATTGTCTGTCTTGTCTTCGACTGAACCATGGTAGGCAAACATGTTGAAGAGTGCGCCATTGTTTCTTCAGTAAATATGAGTTCACTGAATCATAATGAGAGCAGAAATCAATCTCGACTGAAGGTTTCTATGTGCTCATTGTGGTGTCCATTTCTTCTTCCTTTTGATGTGATGTCCACATTTTCCTCTGCCGCCCAAAACTAAATTCAATTGAAAATAGAGGAATCAATTGAATGGCTTTAATTGGTAATCATATGCTGCAAATTTGATATTAACAGGTAACAACTGAGGCTGACCTAGCCAAGGCCAAGGCCTAATGTGGCAATCTCCTAGTGTTTACTGACCATTTGCCTCGTCTTGGATTACAGGGCATGCTGTAAATTTTACTGACCACTCATCAGACAGAAATTGGATAAAGAAGCATACCTAGAAAACCCAAAGAAACAATTCCATGGAACATGTCTGTTGGGTCCAGCGGCTGAGATATATCCCTCCAAATTCCGTCTACAGAAGTGATGAGCTGGGATTGTAGTTTAGATTATAGCCATGGACCACAACTCCATATTATAAACTTATTAAATATTATAATCAATACCATTTCTTCATGGAACCAAGACATATAAGACCTGTAAAACAGTTGCAGCATATAAAATCTGAAAGAAAAGCATAGTTATTTGACTTTCTTCTTTAGAGATTCATTTTTCATATCCATGCACAAGCTCTATGCAAAGGGTTCTTATGTTTTTTCTTTATAAATTAGCAAAATCGGAACAGATTTTGGATAACAAGCACGGTGGTAAGGAGTTGTGATGAAGATGGTACCGGAAGGAGGTGAAAGAAAAAATCTGTTGAGAAAGAATTTTGAAATGAATTCATTTGTATTATACATTTTATGTTTTTCAACCTTTTACCATGAACATAACTGTTTATATAGTCAACCCATCAAGTGATTATAGTAGTCATGTTTGTAGGATATATGCATTATTAATAATTAAGAAATATTCTAAATAAATATTACCTTATAATCGACACAAACTATTCAAAAATAAAACTATTTATATAGTAATAATAAGTGATTTTTAAATACATCTAATCAAATACAATCATGTGCTCTTATATTATATATGACTACTGAATTTATTTATTTTAAAATACATTTATTAAATATTTCTATAAAAAAAATGCATTCATTAAATGCAAATATATAAAAATAAATAAGTAAACATAGTTTAGAATATTCAAATTAAAATATCAATGCTAAGGATGAAAATTTGTTATTGTAGCAATAATTTTTTTTTTGTTTTTGAACAATTTGTACTTAGGATGAGGGGAAATGAAAATTTTACTGGTAATGGGTATTGAACCCACAATCTATGAGAGAGGGGAGGTATCAACTGATAACTTTTAACCACTTGCTCTAGAAATTATTGAATCTTTGCAATAAGTTTTAAAAAGTAACTCAAAAAATATAATGAAGTTAAATTTTCTCCAAAATCTCATGATAAAATATTTAAATCTTTATTTATAATATTCTCAAGAAAATTATGAAATACCGATTATTCAAATTGTGGGATGAATTTATTGCAAATAATAAGAAATGAATATAGTAGTTGTGCGAACATAGATAATAAAGGAGAGAAGATTGCAAAGATAGTGAGACTATGGAGGTACGTGAAAGTTACACTAATAACATATTTTGATAAAGAAATTGTTATGTTCACATTTAAGTGTAAATGCACCTATCATTGAATAAGAGCAGGAAGAGAAAAGGATAAGAAGTTGATTTTTCAACATTATCTATGAATCTCCAAAAGATCAATTGGCTTGGTTTGGTTCAACAGTAGCGCCGAAATCATCGGCTGATCATTCATCTGCATCACAATTTATGTGAATTTGACTAAGTTTTTTTCTCCTATATCAGGATAAGTAGAAATCAAGTTGCAAAAAAGAAATAATTAAACAGGTTAATGACAGGGGATGGCAGTAGAGTGATGAATGTTGCTCGAAGTCGAAGGATCAAGTCTAGGGATCTAGGCTAAATCAAAGAATGAGATTGAAGATGGATTCGGATTTTGACGTAACTTAGGATTCTTGAGGATGAAGTTGTTGGAAATCAAACAAGAAGATGATGATTAAAAGATAATGGATAATATATAATGGATATGTAAAAAGAATTATGAAAAGATAGATAAAACAATGAAAGCACTTGAATATCCCTAGTATGTAGAAGTTTTGGTGATAAGATGGATATGGTGATGTAGTTGTGGTGGGATGATGATGATAAGGATGAAGGATAAATGTCGTACGAACTTGAAAAGGCAAACTCGATAATCGGTCTTAACCAGCTCTCCTAATCGCAATGAAAAGGCAAACTGGAGTGTGAAGATATTCTTCACGAAGAACTTTAAAGAACTTAATGATAAAGAATGTCTCGAAGGCACAAGATAATCAACACTTGCAAAAATGAACTCTCGTTGCAAGAAAAGATGTGATTACAATGGTGAATTGAGTCTCTTTATGTAAGGTGAGGATTTCCATGAATCTAAGTATTTAATGAATAAAATAACAATAAACTAAAGATAAGATAATGTTTGATTTCTACCTTAACTCCTAAAATAATAAATCTAATGCTATATTAAATTATATTAAAAAAAATCAACAAAAATATAAAATATTGAAAATTTGTAATATTTACAAAAATCTTGTAGTAATCTCGTATAGGAATTTCTACTTACGTTGTTTTCATTAAAATGAACGTATATTAAGTTCCCGACATCGGATTGATACAATTCAAGTACCGTTGAAAAGCTAAGAGAAAATCAGTCGTATCTCCATAAGACATGTTAACCAAATAAAACTTGAATCTCATTCAAAAAGTTGTCACAAGTCTGTTATTGTTCTAGTCTTCTTTTTCAAGGTTTGGATGAGTGGGTCAATTGGAAGATTTAGTCCATCTTCCTTTGGTGTGTGAGTCTTGTGATGCATGTCTCAATTAGTGCATTGCTATTGGCCAACATTACACGCTTTTTTATGGAGTAAATTGAATAGAAATGGTAGTTTAAACGTCAAAATAGACCGAGAAAAAGATTATGTACTAAAATATAGATACAAGTATAGTTTAAGGATTAATCATGAAAAATTAAGTAATGGACAAAACATAAAATCAGCTTTATCATCAGATGGGGTCACATCAAGGCCATATATATATATATATATATATATATATATGTGTGTTTCTTTGAAGAATTAATAATGCAGGTAACCCGATTATTAAGAAAGTATAGTTGTCAAATGTATATGGTTGTGGCAATGTTTCATCATAAAAGGATGGATGGTCAATCACTTTCGAATGACGTGATTTTGATTAGGTATTAAAACAAATTCCATTTTGTCAATTTGGTAGTGAAATTCATAAAATCTGACCAATGTTATTCCAGTTCTTTAAGAAAGCAACATCTGCGGTGTTTTCTTTTTACATTGAAAATGAAAAAGTTATCCTCCTACCCTCGGCTTCTCTCCACAAAATAATGATAAGAACATGACAAACCGACACTTTGTTTTCCTGGGTTTTGATAATCAAGGCCGAAGAAGTTTTAATATACGATTAAAGAAAAATATTATCATAAATGTTAATATTTTTTTAGTAAAATATTATCTAAAATATTTTTTTACCGAAAATATTAATTTTGTTATTTAATTTTCGGTAGAAAAAAATAACATTTAGGAAGCACACAATATTAATATTTTTTGTAAAAAATGTTAAACATTTTAGGTAGCGCCTAATATTAATATTTTCGATAAAAAAAGAATTTTTTAGGTAACGCTTTACCGAAAATATTAAAAAAATATTAATATTTCCAATAACGTCTTTCTTTAGCCGTATATTAAGGTTGATGTACTTGAGATATCCCCAATCAAAGCATATGCTAAATACAAATACACAGAGATTAATCGATCAATGGGAGCGGAATAAATAATTACCTCTTTGAAAATATTAATTTTTTTATTTTATATTAACAATATATTTTTATTTTCTAAAATTATATAAATTAATCTCTCTTAAAATTTTAAAAGTTCGCCCTTAATACAAAATCTTACACTCATCTCTAATACACGAATATTGAACTCGAATGATGGAAAATAAGATAATATTTATTTCTACAATAAATATTCTTTATTTCAAGAACAAACCAATACCTTAGTGGTTAAGAGACATATTATTTTAATTAGAGGTCATGAATTTAAATATCAATAAAAATATAAATATTTACTATTAATTGTTTAAAAAATTTTAAATAAATAATATTTTATATTTATTCCTACCTTATGTTTACTTCATATGTAAAAAAAAACTCTAGTGGTTGAAATTATTACTCGTGGGCTTTGGTCGAAAGGGTTCCCATGCTTTCTATATTTAGCAGCTTTTGCCTGCAGCAGCGAATGTGCATGTTTAGGGCATGTACTTTTTTTGAAATTGGATTTTTTATGTTAATTTTTTACTTTTATAACAGTGTTCACCATAAAAAATTAGTTTTATCTATTTTATATAAAAAAAGTTATATTATTAATATATATATATATATATATGCATACCTTGAAAGATATTATTGGATCTATCATTATTTGCATGCCAGACCTGGCTATTAGGGAAATACCCTGAGCGATTGCTCAGGAAGCCCTTTTTTTATAAGACTCGATTTTTTCAATCATGTTTTTTACTTTTATAATTAAGACATCTAATTTTTGTAATATCATATTTTATCTTTAAAATTAAGCTTATATTTTTTTCAATTCTATTTTTTAACTTTAGAATTGAAGCCCCTAATTTCATAAGTCTCACTTTTTATCTTTATAATTGAAGCCCATAATTTTTTTAATATCACTTTTTATAAATGAGTTCTCCTAATATTTTCAATCCCACTTTTTACCTTATAATTGATGCCTTTAATTTTTTTAATCTCATATTTTACCTTTATAGTTAAGACCCGTAATTTTTTCAATCTCACTTTTTATCTTTATAATTGAGGTAACTATTTTTTTCAATTCCATAAAAATCTCAATTTATCATCCATTTCTCCATCTCTCTCGTTAATTCATTTAAGTTTGAACTAAATCTATTCATATTTTTCTTTTCTTTTTCAAATTACATTCTTCAACTTATCAAATATTTTTTAACTCTTAATCTTCTCCAATCTCAATCTAACGGTAAAATAATACACTATTCTTTATTTTTTTATCTATTGTTAAAAATCAAGATTCATATCATATCAAAATTCAATTTATTTATTTATTCTCTTAGTTGTATTTAAGATGTTTTCTTAAAAAATGAAAATAATGTTTGATAAAATGTAAACATTTTATGATTTATTAATATAGTATTAAATTAATTGTCTAAAGTAATATAATATACTTTCATTCTATAGGACCTATTATTGAGTCTCGCTCACAGCTCCAAAAATATTTGAGATAGCTCTGTTGTCTGCCGTTTGTAACTTGTAAGGTTTAGGTTTCTTAAATGAAAAATGAGGAAAAGTTTTCTAGAATTTTGAGTCTTACATGCAAATTTATCCAGACAGATTATTCTTTATAAATCAAATAATTACCCTCCAAAATGTTTGAACTTTAAGATTATTAAGTACGTTTTACGCGTAAAATAGGATAGAAGGGAAAACAAGAGGTTGACATGTTCAGTTAAAGTGTCAAATTAGAACCCATCAAAAGCTACATTAATCATATATTTCTAAGGAAGGAGATGCTAGTTTATTTTGTCTTCTTTATTATTTTTAGGCTTAATATAAAAAAATATCTAAAATATACTATTTTTTCTATTTAGGTGTTTAAACTTTTTTTAGGTCAATCTAGATACCTAATGTTACAAACATTAGGGTGTGTTTGGTTGGGAGAATGTGAGATTCCCATGAGAATGGAATCCACATTCTCCCGTTTAGTTGGCCGGGAATGTCATTATCGGTAATCTTACATTACCAATAGTGGATTTTTTAAGGTATATTACTGGGAATGTCATTGCCTACCTTTCCGTATGTATTGTTGGATTATTGGCGTTTTGGACTAAAATGCCCTTAAAAAATTTCTTTAAAAAATATACTTATTCTGTCATTGAATATTAAAAATTCTAAGAAGGTTAAATTATAAATTTATCCTTAAACTATTTTAGATTTATAAAAAAAAATCTATAATTATAATTTTATATGAAGTTCAGGGGTTAAAATAAAATTTTACCATTTCATTAAAACTTTTTATATTTTCAATTTTGTAAAAAAATTATATAAACTTTATGAATTTAAATTTTTTAAAGAAAATATATAAATATTTTCTAAATTGTTAAAAAACAAATATATAATAAGGACAGTTTGGTCAAATATACATTCTAATAATCTTTTATTCCTTTAACCAAACACGATAATATTACATTCTTGCTAAACCAAACAAACACAAAATAGTAATCATATTTCCTGATAATCTTTTATTCCCGCCGATAATCTTTTATTCTCACTGATAAACTTACATTCCATGAAACAAATACACCTTTACACTTTTAAGTGTCTCTGTAACTGCTATTGAAAATTGTACGTTTATCGACTGTCTGTATACAGGGGAATACCTAATTTGACTGTCCGTATACAGAGACCATCTCAGAAATGTCCAAAGGCATGTATTAATTAAATAAAAACACAAATTAAGTAAATGACTGTATGTTTATTGACTTACAGAATTATTGCTGCAACCAACTATAGAGATTAAAGGGTAGAATGTGTTTACATTGATATCTTGGAACCAAATAAAGAAATGGGGTGGTTTGGTTTTCTGGGTTTAGACAATTACTGAGAAAAAATGGTTGATTTAGCACCAACCCATGATTAGTCTGTTGATTGCAGTCACAGATGGCTCAGTAGAATATGTGGTGGGGAGCTAAAGTAAAGAGGCATTGATGGCAGTCTCATTGTACTGAATTTTCTATTCCATGGTATTAGTTTTAGCATATTTTGGAGTGGGAAGCTGAGAGATGGGGATGGATGGCGGAGAGGAGGAGCAAATGCAAGAGCCAGAAGGATGTCATGAGAGAATTTTGGTTTCCGTTCGACTGCGGCCGCTCAGTGAGAAGGAAATTGTTAGGCATGATGTATCAGACTGGGAATGCATCAATGATAACACTATCATATACAGGAGCACACTGTCGGTTTCTGAGAGATCCATGCACCCAACTGCTTATACATTTGGTAAGGGTTCAGATTTTCAGTTTATGTAAATTTGTTGATTTCCTCATCCTGTCCTTAGTCCTTAGTCACTTGCATTGGAACCAAATTTCTGCAGTTTCTGTTAATTTTGTGCTCCATCATGCATTTAACTTTCTTTTTTTTAGTCTATCTTTACCTTTGGGAAAATAAGTTTTGAAAAAACTCTCAATTTAAGAAAATATTTGTGGAAATCAGTTGCAATAGAACCGAATTTCTTCAGTTAGATAATGTTGAATTTAATCTCATATGCTCTTCTATAGACAATTTGCAGAAGCTCTTGAGTAGCCCCAACTCCCAAAATGAAAGATTAGGACTGAGAAGAATTAATTTTCTTCATATTTGTCACTGATGATTATATCTCCCCTTTAAAGTTTCAAGCAATATTTTTTTCTACAGCAATGTAGGGTTGGCTGTTGTTAAAGGTTGGTTAGCTTTCTTATAAGTGAAAAGTATGTTGTTACCAAGGCTTGATTCTATTCAGAAAAAATCAGGAAGAGAATATTTGTCTTAGAAGTTATCATGTATAGAGTTGACGTCAGTAGCTTATAGTCTTCTAATTTATTTTCTTTTCAAATCGCTGGCCGGCTTGCGGATTTTAGACAGGGTTTTTAGCTCCGATTGCCCCAATAGGCAAGTGTATGATGCAGGAGCAAAGGAAGTTGCTCTTTCAGTTGTCAGTGGTATAAACTGTGAGTGCTTGTCCTCTTTGGATACTTTTTATAAGGCTCTTTTGTTTCTCCACATAACTTCCTAGTGCCTTGTTTTATTTCCTGACATAAACTACTTTTTCAGCAAGTGTTTTTGCTTATGGGCAAACAAGCAGCGGAAAGACATATACGATGATTGGAATTACCGAGTATGCAATGGAAGATATATATGACTACATACAGAGGGTAATGAAGACACAATGGTTCTTGTTGTTTGCCGGTGGGTATGCTTTTCCTTTGTATTTCCCTCTGACATGAATACAAACTGTACTCCCCTGCAGCACAAGGAAAGAGAGTTTATCCTGAAGTTTTCTGCTATGGAGATTTACAATGAATCTGTCAGGGACCTCCTTAGTGCAGACAGCAGTCATCTTAGACTTCTAGATGATCCCGAAGTGAGTTACATCATTGGTTTACGAGGAACTGGTAATCTTATGGGCTACTTTACTAACATCGGTGAATTTGATAGAGAGGGACAGTTGTTGAGAAACTCACAGAAGAAACTCTGCGGGACTGGAATCACTTTAAAGAGCTTCTATCTGTGTGTGATGGTAAGAATTATCTTAGCCGGTCTTCCTTTCGCTAGCTCATGACTTCATAGTTAAGCATCTCGACTCTTGGTGCACATTGGCAGCTCAAAGACAAATAGGAGAGACTTCTCTGAATGAAGCAAGCTCTAGATCCCATCAAATTTTGAGAGTGGTATGCTTTATGTTTCACTGCAAAACTTCTATATATGGTTCACTTCATTTACAAAATAATATGATATTAATTTTTAACTTTTTTATTGATCTTTTCTTGAAAATCATATTCCTGTATGCCTCTCATCAGACAGTAGAAAGTTCTGCCAGAGAGTTTTTAGGCAATGACAAATCGAGCATGCTTGCAGCCACTGTGGTATGAAACAATATATATCTTTTCAGTCAAAGATTTATTGGTTGATAGATACTGGAAAAGCAACTGACTACATTCGTTCTGTCTAGAGTTTTGTTGATCTCTCTGGAAGTGAGCGTGCATCTCAGACATTATCAGCTGGTGCAAGGTTGAAAGAAGGTTGCCATATAAATCGCAGTTTATTAACACTTGGAACTGTTATCCGTAAGCTGAGGTTAGCTTTTTGATAAATTATGTTTTATGGAAAACCAGTAAATTTCATCGATTTCTGTCCTTCTGTTTGACCCTATAGATGATCAAGTTCAAGCATATCAGGTTGATATAACTGATTATTTTCTCAAAATTGATCCAAACATAGCATCTAATATCATTAAACTCACAAATAATCACTCTGGGCTTTCCCTTTTCTTTTCATCTGCATGCATATGCTTGCTGTCTATGAACTCGGATTCTGGTTTACCTTTCCCTGGTGTTACCTGTTTTAGCGTATATATTATATATTGAACCTCAAGCATGAAACAAGAATTAATTGCCATCTCTTCGTATAAATTTTTACGTGATTGCAGCAAGGGAAGAAATGGGCACATTCCTTTCCGAGATTCAAAGCTGACCCGTATTCTTCAGTCTTCCCTAGGAGGCAATGCTAGAACTGCTATCATTTGCACAATGAGTCCGGCACGAAGCCATGTTGAACAATCGAGAAACACCCTCTTGTTTGCAAGTTGTGCTAAAGAAGTGACTACCAATGCACAAGTCAATGTTGTCTTGTCCGATAAAGCATTAATGAAGCAGTTGCAAAGGGAATTGGCTAGATTAGAGAATGAATTGAAAAAAACAGGAACAGCTTCTATTTCCTTCGATTCTGCCGTGTTGCTGAGAGAAAAAGACCTTGAGATTGAAAAGGTGATGAATTATTCCGAGATAATTGAAGTGCGAATTTGCTCTTCTGAATCGTGCATCACACATTGAATCGTTTTATAAGCCTGGCTAATGGATATAATTTATCCTTCTTTCAAGAAATCAGATAAAATATTTTGTCAAGTCTTTGGCTTAGTCCATGAATAATTATTCACATTTCCTATATGCTTCATGCAGCTAAAGAAAGAGGTAAGCATACTGACTCGGCAAATAGACCTTGCTCGGTCTGAGGTTGAGGATCTGCGAGAATTTCCTAACAAAGAAAGTCCTGGAGATGAAAAACCAGTGAAAATATGGGTATGTGCACAGATGATTAAACAAGTTATGCCTCTTTAAGTTCATTTCACCAGTGAAACTTTAAGTCCTACCTTTCCCTCATCAGGCGGATCCAGATACTCGGTACCCCAAACTGCGAGTGCAAAATTCATGGGACTACGAAAGTTCAATCACCGAGACACTTGCTTTGGCTGCTGGTCTTAGGTCCAGCCCTTCAGTTAGAAAAAGCTGCAGTTCTGAAGAGAGCTTCCTCCAGCTTCCCGACTCCAAACTGAATATACCGGATCGTAGATCCTCCCTTGTTGCAATCAATCTACACCAGGAGGAGAATGGTGACCATGTTGATGAAAATTCAGAAGCACTTTGCAAAGAAGTTCGATGCATCGACTCAGGAAGGTCAAGCATGAATGCATATTCAAACTCAAAATTGTCAGTGTCTAGCAGCACAAAGATTTATCAAAACTATAATATGTCATCTCCAAGGGAAAACACAGCTATCTCAGGATTGACGGAAGTTGGCAATGAAGATAGATTAAAGCGAGAGTCCAGATCACTCCGCTGGGAAAACAGTAGCAACCGTCGAGATGTTGCTATTCCATCTCTCGAAAACCCATATTTGTGGCGGCCACAAGAAATATCTAGTCGTAGAAGCTTGAAATTAACTAGGAGTAGAAGTTGTAAAGCAAGTCTCATGACTGGTTTGACCTCCCGGTGGACTGAAAGGATAGAAAAAGATGAAAGCACACCTCCCATAGGGAATGAGGGAGATTTCACTGGAGGACCCAACAGTATCCGGAGAAAACTTTCTGCACTGAAGTATGGCATTCAGAACGAGGGTTTGTATAGAAAAGGTTCAAAAAGCTCTTTGACAAATGCTACTGTATATGAGCTTAAAGGCCAGATATCAAGAAATGAATCTCAAAGTTCTTTGACAAGTGCTACTGAAGAAATGTCTAGTCTTAAGCATGAGAAGAAACTTGCTGATCAAGAGGTGAGTGTTCGATTTCTTTTATCAACCCCTGATTACATGATCAATACGGTACATCCATGATAATGTTAGCCTATCCTTGTACATTAATAATTAAGGGTGCTTATTAAAAAAATCGTTTAAATTTGCATTCTGAGTATTATATTGTCCAAGCATGGCCTGTACAGGTGATGGAGCCCGTTTTAAATGGAAAGTGTGTTAAAGAAAATGGCTTGGACCCAATTCCAGATACTTATGGGAACCCCACTGCATGGTCTTCAGAATTTAAGAGGCTTCAAAGAGAGATCATTGAACTTTGGCATGCTTGCAATGTGTCACTTATCCACAGGACCTACTTTTTTATGTTATTTAAGGGAGATCGAAACGATTATATATACATGGAGGTTGAACATCGAAGGCTATCCTTCCTTAACAATGTATTTTCCCATGGTAATCAAACAATTGAAAATGGGCGAGTACTTACCTCTGCTTCAAGGTACATGTATTTGCATATTGTATTCAACAAGTTCACAGAATCATTTTTTTGTGTGCATTGTTAACATGCATTTAATTCGGAACAACTTAGTTATCTCTATGAATACGTTCTACACAGTTCGAAGGCTCTACGTCGAGAAAGGCATATGCTGGGTCAGCAGATGAGCAAGAGACTCTCGAAAGCAGAAAGAAAGAACCTGTTCATCAAATGGGGGGTTGGATTGAATACGAAACATAGGAGGTTGCAGTTGGCTCACCGCCTGTGGATTGACAGTAAAGATATGGACCACATTTCCGAAAGTGCTGCCATTGTTGCAAAGCTGGTTCGCTATGCAGGCCCAGAGAAGACTTCTAAAGAAATGTTCGGGCTCAGCTTCGCACCAGGGAAGTGCACAAACAAGAGAAACTGCGGTTTGAAGTGCAGTGTAATGTCTATCTTGTAGGTGTATATGATAGTTTAAGTTCTTTGCAGATTTTGAATTTACTGATTCTGATTATAGTGTAATGCAAGGGTGTGGAAATCATCTAAGATTATAAATGAGATGAAAAATTTGTGTTGTTAGGCACACTGAATTTCAAGTGGTCATCAATAAGCAGGCCAAGCACATCAATGGGCCTGATGAGTCATTGTTAACTTTAAAGATTCCATTCCTTTCTTTTGGTTCAGAATATAAGGCATAATGTTAAAAAAAATACCCTTAACGATTTATTAAATAGTCAATTTAGTACTTTTTTTTTTAGAGTACTTTGATTCTAACTTTTCATTTTAGGGAAAAGGTCAACAAAATTTGACTACATAGTCATTTTGGTCTTATATTCTTATCTTTTGAACATTTTGGCCCTAACTTTTAATTCTATGATAAAAAGAACTCTATTTTGGAGTATTGACCATTTATTAACTAACTGTTTCATCCACGAATGAGTCTTTTTATCCTGAATTAAAACGTTGAGGGTCGAAATATTCTAAAAAGAAAAGAATACGAGTTAAAAATAATAATTTAATATATATAAGGACATCTTTGTCTTTATACCAAAATACAAAAGGATATATATAATGTAATAACTCTCCTTATGAGATGAATAGTACATAAAGGTTTCATTAAGTGTGGCTGTTGATCCACCACTGCAGATTTATTGGTGTTAGAGTTTGAATCAAATTCAAAGTGACATAAATTAATTAATATATAAATATTGGAAAAGTAGGAAACTCAGTTTGATTAAAAGTAGAAAACTTTATCAAAGTAGATTTCTACTTCATTTAGTTTTTCTTTGTAATCAAGTATCTATCCATATAAATAGATACTAAGGTTCAAAGTTAGAAATCAAATTTTTCTTTCACCAAAATTTTCTTGTATTTTCTTCCTTCATATTAGTAAATTTCTTCTCATCTACCCGTGGTTTTTCTCTTTTGGGTTTTCCACGTAAATCCGGTGTTCTTTGTTTTTCCTTTTCGATCGTGTTTATTTGTTTGCTGATAATCATCCTTCCGATATTATAACAAACTAATATCAGACTTTGGGTTCAAGATTATGGCAACAATAAAGTATGATAGTCCACTGTTGGATCGAAACACCAGGTTCTCGCTAAGGCAAGTAAAAATTCGGGATGTTTTGCACAGTTAGATCTTGATGATGCAATAGAAGGATTTAATGAGAAGTCGGATACGCAGTGGACAATGCAATAAATCAATAAATATCATAATGATCAATCATCATGAGTTTCTTGAATGCACATATAGTGCTGCATAGATATGCACATAAAGTGTCATTATATAGTCAAAACTAACGATAAAATTGCACACAAAGTGCCACGTATAATTGCACATGAAGTGCTATTATGCAGTCGAAATTACCGCGTAGAATTCCACACAAATGTGCCATGTAGAATTGCACATATAATACACTAACTCTATACCTACGACTCTCAATGCATTTACAATGGGCCTTTTCTTTGGGCCATTTAACTGTCATTTATCAAAATCTTTTCTAACATCATCATAATTAAGTATTATACATCATACACTCATCATAGTCTTTTTAAATATTAACAAAGTCAAATATCATACAATAAAAATCTCAATACACAAACAATGGCTTTTTCATTCACATATCATTTAAACATCAAAATATTTATAAATACGAATATATCAAAATATAATTTAAATATTATATCTGACAGCTCGTATCCAAAATAATTCAAATCACTCAATAAATTATTAATTAAAATATCATAATATGAGCCAAATCATATCTCATTATCGAAAGTCTTCCTCATATCATATTATATATAAGTATAGTAAGAAAGTACTCACCTGGTAATGCTTCACTACTAACCTTACTTAGCGTTCCTAGCTTTACCCTTGAACTTTTTCCTTACCTTTAAGCTTTCTTTGATCTTGATCTTCATGTTTATCATTTATATATCACATACATTCCATAGCATATATTAGTGCTTTACTAACATAGGCACAATCTAATAGTAAAATTCATAAAAATTCTATAAATACTTATTCGATATTAAATCCATTTTGAAATGTTAATACTAACTATAACTGTAACATCCCAAAAAATCGGGCTAGTAACTAAAATATAAGTTTTTCAAACTTTGTAATCAATTTAAGAAAATTGAAAAGTTTAAGGACTTAATTGAAGTATCTTGGTGTTGGATTTAATAGCAAAGTTGGAAGGTAGAAAGGGAATAATGGTCATTTGATAATAATATAATTAAAAATTATATTGGTGGAGATATATATGCACGTAGGGATTTAGGAGGAAAAGAGAAAGAAAAATATGGAGAGTTTTGGGTTCAGCTATCTTCTTCTTCTTCTTCTCTTCCTGTGACTCCATGAGTAAGGTGAGTTGGTTCCAAGTTTATTATTCCTTTCATTTTAAAGTTGGTTTTAATTCTTGGAGTGTTAAGAAAGCTTAAGGAAAGCTTAAGGTGGCTTAAAACTTAAAGATGAATAAGTTATGAAAGAATGAATATAAGAGGTTTTAAAGTGAATTGTTGAGAAAGAGTTAGTAAATAAGTTTTGAAGTGAAATTTGACTTGTCATAAGCTGGAATAAGAAATCTAAAGTATTATATATGGATTTAAGACATGTTGAATATTTGGTATGATTCTTGAGTTTAAGTATTATGGCGAGATATTGAATATTAGATGTTCAAGTGATATAAGATGGTTTAAGTGAGTATAGTTGAATTTGAAGTAATGAAAGGAGTTCAAAGTATGAAGTTTATGTAAGTTTAGTTAATTTTGGGTTAAAATAAGAAATTATGGGCAAGGGTATCGATATTGTTCATTCAGTACTAGTACTTCAAAGTGAAAATAGATGATATTTGGGTATGGGTATCGATACTGAATGACCAATATAAATACCATAAGCAAAAAGTTGATAAATTATTCAAGGAGTATCGACATCGAAAGAGTAGTATCGATACCATTGAGCAAGTATCGATACCATTTTGAAGATGAATTCCAGAATCGAAATTGGGTATCGATACCATAGGGTAGAAGTATCGGTACTTTACCTTGGGTACCGATACTACTTATATGGAAATTGTAAATTAAGTACTTTGTATAGCTTATGTTACATATGATTGATTAATAATGATTCAACTTAAGACATTCATATCAATTATATGAATCGTGTAGATATTGAATGAAAGTAAGTACCAGATGAGTCAACGAGATCAGATCGATCAAGAAAGAGATAAGTGTATTGCTTGGACTAGTGAGGTCGAGGTAAGTGCATACTAGTATGAAATATGATTATATGGAAATTAGACTTGCAAAAAGTCTGTTTCCGACATTTTGAATATATGATTGCATGAGTAGAAGTATAATTATGATTTGTACTGTGTGAATATGCCTTGTTTGCATTACATGTTATGTGGTATGAATCTATGTGATATGTGTTATATGAAAATGATCTACGTGACCTTATGAGAATATTATATGAATTATGTGATAATAATATATGAGATTACATGCTTATGTGATAACATGAGAAAGTGATATAAGCCATTTGGTATAGATATAAGTAATTTGGTATAGATATAAGTGATTATATGAACATGAAATACAAGCTATGTGATGAGGATCTACATGTTTATATGTTTATGAGAAGATATAAGAACAAGATATAAGCCATGTGATATGACATATGTGATTAATTGTTTATGTGAAATAAGATATAATAAATGATATAATTATAAAGCCCATAATATGTGTTATGAGAGCTAGGGGTATAATTGGCATGCCAAGAGTCGATGGTTCTATGCGGTCATTCGGGACATAAATGTGGTCATTTGGAACATATATGTGGTCCTTCATGATATATATTTGGTCCTTTGGAACATATATGTGGTCCTACGGGACAATTCTACGTGGTCCTTCGAGACATTCTATGTGGCACTTCAGTGCATTTTATACGAGCTGTGGTGACAACATTTGTGCACAAACTCAATGCACTCATATATCTTTAGTTCTTAGAAGTGTACCATGGGCTATTAAATAATGATAAAATAAATAATTTTATGTCATGTTGTGTGTTTTATTTTGTGAAATGTACGATATGACGTTCACAAATGTTAAGTACAAGATTATATGATTAAAGGAATAAATGATAATATTGATAATGATGTTAATAATGATAATGGTGAGATACGTACATGTATGCATTTTTTTATATGAAATGTTTTATGGTTTTGTGTGATATCATTGTATGAAATGTTCATGCATTGTTAAGTATTTAAAGTTTCTATTAGATGGTTTATATGTCTCACTATGTCTGTGACTTAGCGTGCGAGTATTTTCACACGTAGGTTTAGAGAAAATAAAGGGGAGCAAAGATAGGCAAGTCAGGTCAGCTTCTCCTTTCCAAAGATCAGATCAGAAAAGACTTAAATCATATGTATTTTATAATACTGATTTTAGTTGGCATGTAAATAAAGATTTGCTTTGGATATGATCTGATCGGTTTTGTAAATTCTTTAGTTAAATTTATGTAAATAATGTTGTTTTATTTAATATAAGTTAAAATTTTTACGATTTTGTACAAGTATATGATTTGAAAGGTTAATGTGACATCTCAGACTCGTATCCAGGTCGGATACGTGTTGTGGGTGTTATATTTAATGATATCAGAGCTAAGGTTTAGCCGATTCTTGGCTTAAACTGAAGACAAATGAGTTTTAAAATGTGTACATACCAACGAAAAAAGAAAATTTATGATCTGATAGTGTAAGGAGTGTGTTGTCTTGTTATTAGAATATGATTGTTATGTTATATTAGAAGTATGCTCATGAGAGTTTTGAAGTAAAGTGAGAGGTAATACACCTTAAGGTAGTAGAAATTCACCTACCTTGTCCTGACAGAATGAAGAGCGAACACCTCAGGAAGTGCCTTTACAAGATCAAGGGTTATTTTTCAGGAGGATAAAAACGCGTCCGAATAGCCTTAGAGGGTCTCTATTGCTCTGAAGTGGAGTAATTTATTTGCTATGCGGGCAAATTAGAGTATAGTTGATAAATGTTATCATGAGAATGTTAAAAGACCGAGTGATGAGGTTA